ATGATGCACCATCTCCTTTACCTCGTCATCCAAGTTAATGATGTCAAACAACATAAATGCTTTCTCTAGAGAGTCATCTAGATATGCACCCACATCATTTTGTTTTTCTTCTTTTTAAATTATAGATATCATAGGTAGATCCTCATAGTGACTTGGCAACTGAATTGCCTTGTACATATTAAAAACTGCTTCCACATTATCAACCCGGAGGATCATTTTTCCTTCACGAACTTTTCTTACAGCATCAGCGGTGGCTAAGAGAGGTTATCCCAAGATAATGGGGACGTGTTCATCGGCTTCATAATCTAGTATTATGAAATAAGCTGGCAGAATAAATTATCCTATTTGTAGTAGCACATCTTTAATCACCCCCTCGGGATAGACAATAGATCTATCAGCAAGCTGCAACATGACTGTGATTGGCCTTGGGGATCCCAACCCCAATTGACTGAAAACTGATCGGGGCATCAAATTTATGCTAGCCCCCAAATCACAAAGTACTCATCTCACATCTACCTCACCAATTCGAATAGGTATGGTGAAGCTCCCCAGATCTTTCAACTTTTGCGGTAATGTTTTTTGAATTCTTGAGGTGCACTCTTCAGTAAGTGCCACTGTCTCAAACTCTGTCAACCTCCTTTTGTTAGCCATAATATCTTTGATATACTTAGAAATTTTGGGATTTCATGTAACACATCAACCAATGGAAGATTCAATTGAATTTGACTAAGCATATCAAGAAATTTGTTGAACATCCTGTCATCACTTTTCTTCTTCAATCTTTGTGGTAAAGGAGGTGGTAGCCTTGCAATTGGAGTCTTTTCACTTTTTTCAGTTTCTTTCCCAGCTTCTCCCACAGTTTTGGGGACCAGTTCACCCATATGAGTGACTTGTTATTTCTTTCTTTTTGCTACTTCTTTTAAATCTCTTCCATTCCTCAAGTTACAACATTTACCTAGGGATTCTTATCTGTATCACTGGGAAGGGCCCCTGCATGTCGAGTATTTTATTGTGCAACCAATTGCCCAATCTGCCTCTCTATATTTCAAAATTTAGTCCTCAATTGCTGATTATCTATTTAAAGTTGTTGGTTGTCAATAAACAGCCTTTTCAACATATCATTAGTGCTTTCTTCTATCTGTTGCGGTGGTTTTTGAGGCTGATTATAGTTTCTTAAGGCCTGCATTGATTTTGAGTGGTCTGGTTCCCACCCCATGAGAAATTCGGGTGATTCCTCCATTTGGGATTATAGGTGTTCCCATATTGATTATTATGGTTCATTGGGTCTCTACCTTGCTGGTCCATATAATAATACATTTAGGATTCACTGAACATTGATCACTCATATGGCTATCTCCACAAATTTCACAACATATGTCCATTCTCTAAACCTGCTACATTTGATGCCCTTGACCTATGTCATCTTAGCCATTTGGTTTTTTAGTTTAGAAATCTATGCTCGTACGGCTGACATCTCATCCAGCTCAAGTGTACCTGGTGCTTTCTATTTTATCATCCTTCTTGAGTCAACCTCACCTTGTTAGTTATGATCATTTGTAGTGAAATTGTTCGGTAGAGTCTGAATCTCACTATATGGTTCTTGCATGAAACTTCCTCCACAAGATGAGTCTAGATTCAATTTGGAGGTCTTGTCCAACCCATCCACAAAGGTATGTCCCAACACCTCATCTTTCCCAAGCTTGACGAAGAGTCTCGCCATCTCGTTGTTGAAACCCAAGAATCTGGATCCTCGGCGACTTTATTTTCTTTGTTGGAAAAAACTTAATTAAGAATTTTTGTGCCTGATCATCCCAAGTGTGGATCGAGTTTGCAAGCTCTTTGTTTAACCATTCCTTAGCTTCCCCCAGCAGTGAAAAGGGAAACAATGCCAGTCTGACGTAGACCGTGGAAACATTCGGATATGTGATGACCCGATAGGTCATCATATGTTTTAAAACCTAATTCTATGTTTCGAAGCCTTAAAGCACCCTCCTCGATTTATGTGCACAATTCGGGCACATTTCCGGAAAGCTTTTATATTAAAAACTGTGAAAAATATAAATTTTTTACTTTGGAACCTATTTGAGTTGACTTTGGTCAACATTTAGAGCAAACAGACCCAGATTTGTGTTTTTGATGGTCTCGGTGGATTCGTATCGTGATTTAGGACTTGGGGGTATGCCCGGAATCGAATTCAAAAGTCCCTAGCCCGAGTTATCGGACTTTGTTGAAATTTGAAAGTTAAAGGCTTAATGAATTTGAAATGTTTGAACAATTGTTGACTTTTGGATATTGGGTCCGTATTTTGATTTCGAAACCCGGTATATAGGTCCAACACCATATTTATGACTTGTCTGTAAAATTTGGTGAGAAACGAAGTTGGTTTGGTATGATTCGGACGTCCAGTTGTGAAAATAGAATTTTCAAAGTTTTCTTGAAAGTTTCATTTGATTTGGTGTTCAATTCGTAGTTCCAGGTGTTATTTTGGTGATTTGATCGCGCGAGCAAGTTCGTATAATTTTTGTAGACTTGTGTGCACTATTGGTTTAGAGCCCCGAGGGCTGGGGTGAGTTTCGGATAGGGGAGTGAAATTTGGACTTAGAACATTGTTGGTGTGCTTCAATTTTGTTGCAGGCCTCAGACCTTGCAATTGCGAGGTCAAGCTTCGCATTTGCGACCACTGATGGGTTTGCATTTCCAAGCTACTCATCGCATTTGTGAATAGTATCTTGGGAGGCCAGAGTTCGCATTTGCGAACAAAACTTCACATTTGCAAAGTGAGACAGGGGGAGGTAGTGATCGCAAATGCGATCAAATGGCACATTTGCGGAGATCATGGTTCGCATTTGCGAACATTTCTTCATATTTGCGAGGAAAGAAGAAATGTGAAGGCATTCACAATTGCGATAGATTCTTTGCATTTGCGGGACTGGCATTTGCGAACCCCAGGTCGCAAATGCGACATCTGCAACTGGTCAAATATGACTTAGACGGGATTTTTGGTTCATTCTTCAAATTTTCAAACTCAAGAACCCTAGAGGCGATTTTTCAAAGAACTTTTCTTCCCCAAATCATTGGGTAAGTGATCCTAAGCTAGTTTCTTCAATCTTTCATTACTTTTCCTAAGATTTCAACCTAAAATCTTGTGTTTTCATGGTGGAAATTGAGGGGTTTGAGTAAAATTAGGGATTTTTGTAAAATGGGGATTTAGACCTCAAGTTGAGGTCGAATTCTAAAACAAATTACATAACCGGGCTCAGGGGTGAAAGGGTAATCGGGTTTTGGTCCGAATTTTGAGTTTGGACCAAGCGGGCCCGGGTGTTAGTTTTTGTTGACTTTTTTTAATAATGACCTAAATTGAATTCTTTGCAATCGTGGGTAGTTCTTAAGGCTTAATTTGAATCGTTTGATTGGTAGTTTGCTAGATTCTATCAGTTCGGAGGGTTTTGAAAGGCAAAGTCGTGGTTGAGCTTTGAATTAGCTCTTTGGAGCAAGGTAAGTGTCGTGATTAACCTTCACTTGAGAGAATAAGACTTGTTTGTCTATATGTTATATGTTTAGATGTTGGGTACAACGTATATGTGAGGTGACGAGTACTTATGCATTGTTGACGAGTGTAAGCATGCGTGTGAGACTTGGTTTCTTGTAATTATTGATTTCTTTGATCATGTTATCCATGTTTAGACTAGTTATTGTTAAATTGATCGTTCTTATCATGTTTACGGATTTTTGGTGATAATTGAGTGTTGATTTCAAAGTTGAGATTGGTATTGTGGAACCAAATGTTGAAGTAAGGCTTGTTCTTGTCATTCTATCTCCCTGTTGTTGTTTGTTCATTACTTTATGGTAAGGGAGAGTGTTAATGCACGAAGGGTGATGTTGTGCTATATTGTAGGTGTTAATGCCAGAATGGTGATGTCGTGCCATGATATGAGAGTTAATGCACGAAGGGTGATACTGTGCCATATCTATTAATTTTGTGAGGTTGAGAGTAAAAGCATGAAGGGTGATGCCGTGCAGTTTCATTGTTTCACTGTGAGGTTGTGAGTAAAAGCACGAAGGGTGATGCCGTGCACTTTTCCTTACTGTGTTTAATTATTTTCACTTTTAAAAGGCATATTGATCGTCCTGGTTATCATTTCTACTGAAATTCTCATATCGTGTATCCCCTGTAGCATGTCCCCCTCCCGATATTACTTGTCTAGCTCGTATTTGTTGTTATTTTGTACATATACTATTAAATGCACATGTTTATTATGTAGGTATCTTGTCATAGCCTCGTCACTACTTCATAGAGGTTAGGCTCGACACTTACGAGTACATGGGGTCAGCTGTACTCATACTACATTCTGCACTTCTTGTGCAGATTTTGGTACCGGCCCTAGCTGATCGTGAGGTTAGCATCTGGACTTGCTTGTTAGAGACCCAAGGTAGATTTGCTGGCGTTCGTAGACCCTAAAGTCCCTTCCTTTATTATACTGTTTCCTTTCTTTCAGTTATTTGTATTTTCTTTCAGACATTGATTATAGTAACTCTTAGAAGCTCGTGAATCGTGATACCAGATCCGAATTGTATCAGTTATTATGGGTTTTAAGTTATTCTGCAAACTCAGTTTTAGCTTCTGTTTAGCTTAATTTTTTTTATTGTTAAAATTGACTGAAGTTGACTTAATAATCCTCTAACATTGTCTTATCTAGCAAGTGAAATATTAGGCGCCATCACGGTTCCGAAGGTAGAAATTCTAGGTTGTGACAGGATAATTATAAGTATCCGTAATTTCCAAAAGGTTCTGAATGTGCCGCTATAGATCTTCATGAGATAGACCCACATACTGCCCTGTGGACTAAATCAGCCGCACCATGTAGTGTTTGAGCTCAAAGTGTCACGTGATGTCAGGCTTCACGATAGTCTGTGTCATATTAGCAAGTCTAGGCCTTGCGGCCTCAATCACCAGTCTTTCTTTATTTTCTACCATCTCAATTAGCTGTGGTTGGACTACAATGCCCAACTTTGCAATTCTTGCTCTTTCTTCTGCCTTAGTCCTTAACCTGTGGAAGAGTCTTTCGGGTTCAGGATCAGGAGGAGGAAGGTTGTTCAAACTGTTGCTTCTTCTTACAATTCAAGGTGAACACCTGTAGAGTCAGGAACAGTCAAACAAATTAACACTCGAACAAAAGCAAACAAGATCTTATTTCAGACAAATAACTAATTTCTAAATCCCCAGCAACGACGCCAAAATCTTATTGGGTCCAAACGCACACGCAGATATATGTGGTCGATAAGTAATAAAATGATAAGAAAGTATCATTCCCACGAGGATTTGTGATCAACTAAAATGTCCAATCTAAGCTATTTATAAATTTAATGCTCAAGTGAGTGTGAAGAAGATGATTGTGATTTTTGTACTAAATTACTACAACTAATGAACAAACAAGTAAATAAGATCGCAAGTAGAGCAAACAAACACTTAGAGAGAATTCAATGAGATTGGATATTCTAGGGTTATGGGATTAACATCTCTCATATTGCATTCTTCAGGTTGATGTAATCACTTGACTTATCTAATTTATTGATTAGTAGGGTTTATTATTCTCGTGAATTTCTTTCGACGCCCCGCTCGCCTATTAAAGCCAACCTAAGACTATATGTCTATAGAATCAAACTTGACAAGAACGCATGTATATTTTCTGCAAAAATAGCCAAGTAATGCAACTAGAATATGTATATCCTAATCAAGAATCTATTCTCTGATGCCCAGATTCAAGAACTTACTCTATTCAATCTTATATGCAACCTATAGTTCCCACTTTTGAGTTCAACTATAAATTCGCAGATAGTACTCTATTGTTAGCTATGCAATAGAATAATTAAGTGCAAGAATGAATAATCATATTAATATGATAAAGTCAAGCAAAACAATCAATCGTCAATGTACAATAGTCAAGAACAACCCATAACCACAGATTAACAAGGTTCTTAGCCACTCATGTTCATAACAATCTTCAAAATATTATTTTTAAACATAAAAATTATGAATACTAGATGAAGAATGGAAGAATTGATGAATTCATGCTCCCGAGTGTTTCGTGCTTGTGTTTCTCTCTCAAAGTCGCGTCTCCCTCGCCAAAATAGGTTTAGGTTTGCTTTTATACGAGTTGGGGGCGTTTTGGAGTCGAAATAATTAAGTCCCGAGCGAAATAGGACAAATTCCCGTCACCAGGGATTTATATAGATCGAATTATATTTGCAACGACCGCTTATCTTTTTAGGACTAGAGTTGGCATGATCAAGCATATAAGGTATAGACATGTAGGCTAGTGGTCAATGAAGTGAGTGGAGAACATGAGATTTAATGTTTAAATCTTAGCATATGTGCTGGTGAAAGGTAGCAGGTACTCATGGAATAATTGGGTGCGCCGAGCTGGCCCAGATACCACTCACATGAAAAATAAAAGTTCATACTTTGACAATGTTCAATACTTTTACTTCTATAGAAAGCTACGACATTTTGAGAGCCAAAACATTTGCCTGCAGTATTTTTGAAATTTATCAAGTTTATATGTAAAAAGAACAAAGAACATGTTCTCATTCTCAAATTTGATTGTAGAAGCATTGGTTTCGTCACTCTCCACCTTGTGTGCTCTCCTATTACTTATAAATTTCATTTATTTAACAAAATAAGAATACAAATCAATTTACCTATTACATTTCTCTATAATATAATGGATTGGTTCTTGAACTCAACAAACTATCCATATAACATAAATTAAAATGAATAAATTGAAGGTAATATAAGCTTTATTTTATATCATTTTAAACTTTACGGGGAAATTACATATATTCATAACAGGAAACATGTGTTAATAATTTAGGACATAGAATATTAGATAGTGCATTAATTATTTAAACTACAGATAATTCAAAAATTACCCTTGTTTGTCCATGGAAGACACCGATGAAACAACTTTCGTAGGAACCTCTATAGGAAAAATTTAAATTAGGAGTCAACTACATTAAATGAGTGGTTACTGTAATAGGATTTTATTCGTTACATCCAATGAATATATACTCAAGATAGAAAATATTTCAAATCATAATATAATACTACAACTAATTGAGAAAAAAAAATCAATGACTGCTATTTGAGTTTAATTTCATCAAGGATATTAATTCATTTTCCTGCCAAAACAAAAATTTTGTATGCCATTTCCCAAATTTGAACGTTTTGTCAAATCTATAAATAACAGGAGTAGTGAAAGAATATCAGCACAAAAGCACAGAGGTAGAATTGTTATCTGCGGTCTTCTGATTAAAATGGCGAGGTAAATAAAAGTTCCCTTTTCTCTTTCTTTTTGGGGTTTTCAATTTATTCAATCTGTGGCGACTTTATCTTTGATTTTCTCTTTAGAATGTGTTTTTTTGTTTGATTTAAGTCGTGAATGTTTTATGTAACATTCGCTAAGAAGTGTACTAATCTAAGTCAATTAATGCATGTTTCCAGTATAGAATTCTCCTTTGACGTCCCTCACGAATTTTTGTGTTAAACTTAATTACTAAAATTCAGGTCATGGTTAATTAGGTTTAGAGCAAAAGTTAACTTTATGTTGATCGATTTTTATGTGCGTTGAAATTTTTAGAGCAAAACGTATCTTATAAACGATAATCTTCAAAGTGACATAGACAGGCAAGCTATTCGTTCACCTATAACCATTGTGATTATGAAATAAAGGGTTAACGTTGCTATTGGCATAACTTAGTTTTGTAGAGTTCAAATCCAGTTTGGATTATGTTTTAAGGCAAAAACTTGCCCGCGTTAAGTATTTACATCAAATCATGTCTTATCATTATCATCAAATTGACATACACACGAAGGTAGTTGTTCATCTATTACCATTGAGTTTTGTAGATCGTTCAAATCGAGAATGGATTATGTTTTAGTGAAAAAACTTAATTACCACACTCTTGTATTTACACTAAATCGTATTAATTTACTATGATTAAGTCATAATAAAGGTATGAATGTGTATTAATTAATATATAGTTTAGTGATAAGAGTGTATATGAAGATATGTGTCGTATATTCATTGAAAAATTAGTGTAAGTTAATTTTTACCTATTTTTGACTCTATTCCGTGTTTATTATTATGCTGTTTCATTTATGTGAATCTCACTTTAGAAATTCATTCAATTATCGTTGTTCTAACTACTAGCTTTTCAATAACCTTTAAAAAGAATTCCAAATCAATGACCGTTTATTTAATTTACCCTCAACAAAAGATAAAAGAAAAAACTCATTCTTGTTTTTCCACAACTTATGTGCTAATTAATAAAATTTGAATTGTTTTGTAATCAGATTATTAAGAAAGAATGGTGGCAGTAGAAAGAAGAATCATTACAGTGACGGACTTGGCCGTATAGACAGGATATCTGACCTACCAAGCAATGTGATTGATGAAATTTTATGCCGTATGACCACCAAAGAAATAGCGCAAATGAGTGTTTTGTCCAAAAAATGGTACCATATCTGGTCCACCCATCCAGTCATTGTGTTAGATCGTCAATTCCATGAGGACATAAACCAAGACGATTCATCAGTCACTTATGGTGGATTCAAAAACATCGTCAATAAAATACTGTTGCAACACAATGGCCCTATCGTCAAGTTTTTCCTTGACGTATCAAGTGCTGATTTAGACGATTGGGACATCGATCATTGGCTACGTTATGTCTCTAACAAAGGTGTTAACGAACTCACCATCGATAACTCGTTTCAATTTCCATATAATTTGCCGCATTTCTTGTTCAAGTGTGCGAAATTGAGTTATTTGAACGTTACCAATTGCAACTTCAAGTTGCCACTTGCGTCTACATCATTTCAGAATCTTGTTAGGCTTGATCTAAAGCTAATGTCTTTTAATCAAAAGTTGGCGCAAAACATCCTTGAGGCTCCACTTCTGTTGATCTTGATGATTACTGGTTGTGATGGTATCCAATTCCTTAATATCTCCGCGCCACGGCTACTTTGCTTGCACATTGTTGACAGTCATTATGTGGATTTGAAGCTTCTCAAAGCCTGTCCTGAGCTGAAAGTGGTGACTATTGTGACATGCAACAGAATCTATACCTATGAATTTTGGAGAAGGTTTACCTTGTTTCAGATGATTGCTTCTTTCCCTAAACTTACAGGGTTTTGCTTGGACGGTCTTTTTTTCAAGGTAAACTGCATATATACTTATTATTTTATTCTATTTAATTCATAGTTTAATTTATTGTTGTATTGAAATCACGTACTTAATTAAAAACCCCCCTCTCATGCTTTTATGTTTTTTTTTTAAAAGTTTGTAGTTCCAACTGTTGTTCCAAAGAGGCTTGAGGCTCCACTGGAGCATTTGGTGGTTCTTAAATTAGGGTTTTGTTTTGCTGATAAAGCTCAGATTTCAGCAGTTATCTGCTTACTTCAAAGTGCTCCTCATTTGCATACACTTGAAATCCAGGTAATTAAACATTTGAACTTAAATATATCCTTGTATTACTCATGAATCATTGAAGTATTTATCTATCATGTTGAAGTTACATTATTCCTTTTTGCAATTAGTACAAAATCATTATTGAGAGACGTGTTTCCTTTTATTTTTTAAATATTTATCATACTTCAATTTTGCACATAACCTATTTATAGGATAGGGAATTATTTGGAGCACAATAAATAAACCACATGCATGCCTTGATCGTGCCGTCACTGTATATTGTTAAAAATTGTGGTGGAAATATTTATTGTACCATCAACCAAAAACTGCTAACAGTACCTATGCGACTTAACTGATTGCGTACTTAACATATATGGTCAAAGTGTTGCAGTTCATTTATCATATGGAGGTAGCTAACTTGGCATGGATCTCTCGACAAATTATATTGCTACTCAACATGTTTAATTCGTATTATAACTTGTTGCCTAGATGCAAAGGCCGCAATTTTTTGCTTATGAATAAACTTTAGATTGTCACATATTATACAAACTGAACGCCAAAAAACTTTTACGTACTATTAAATCACTTAAAAAATAATCATGTATAAATGTCTATAAAAAGTGAGACCAGTAACATAGAAAATAAGATTGGTTAGCTACTACCAGTGGCTCCTCCACCCTTGTTCAAGATTGACACTTTTTTGCCCGAAAAATATACTGTGTAGCTAGACTTTTTTATGTATATGTTGACTAATACTCTTAGCTTTTAGGTGTTGTTTCTTTATATTTTGACTATTCCCGGAGAATATCCTAGCACCACCTATGACTAGGTTAAAATACGTGCTCGTTGTATATAATTTAAAACTAGTGCTGTAATAAATTTCCTTTTATTTGTATCACCTTAACTTCTAATATATATGATATATGTATGTACAGGAAGAACTCTCAGATGCTGAGGAGATCAACGTAGACGCAGTTACAGAGTTTCTAACAGCACCAAACTGTGTAGAACAAGATCTCATGTCACTTGAGAAGATAAAGTTAGAAGGTTATGTGAACAACACAATTGAACGTCATTTCATGAAGCTTTTGCTTGCTCGTTCTCCTTCACTTGTTGAGGTGATAGTTGCGCCTTCGAGATTTATTGAATATAATGGAATTTGGCTCTTCTTCTTCGAGTTGTTGGAGTTCCCTCGAGCATCGCAAAATGTCAGTATACTGCTTGGATAGACACCATTTCTCCTCTAGTAGCAGACATTATTATCATTTCATTATTCTGCTGATAAACATTTAGTTTTGGGTGATGGCCCTATGTTTTGTTACATTTTGTCAATTGGAACGAGTATTATATACTCTTCTAAAATATTTCAGTTTTTCTTTAGCTTGATGGTCAGGATAATGTCGACAGCTTTATTAAATTAAGTTTAAGTTCCATAGCCTTGGCTATTTGCTTTAGCAATGATGATAAATTAAATGGCAGGTTTTGTAGCAACTTGAATCACTTCCTGTTATGTTGAATCATTTGATCTTCTTAGTTCCATTCGAGCATTCTCTTTCATAGGCTCGACACAGGTTGAGATGTTGGGTCATTTCTTTTCTTTATAAATCTGAGTTGGAAAGCCCCATTTTTATCAGCGCACGCCCAATGAAGTAGGAGCTCGCTCCCTACCTAGACGTACTTCCATGGCTTGCCTCTCGAGGTTCAAGCTAGTTTCGGTCGTGCATGAACTGACTAGCCATGCCACTTATATTAATTAGGACATTAACAAGAAAAATCATCTTTACTTTGTCGATTTAAGATAGCTTTTGATGTCCAAGGGTCCTCATATTACTTTATTTTACTGGAACACTCTTTAAGAAATTTACGTACAGCAACCATATATATACTCTTAAGAGGTTTTTTTCTTCCTTTGAAAGAAGAAAAGGAAAAAGCCTTGCACGGTCATATTCAGCTTCAATTTATACTAGTACTCCTTACTGTTCATGTGATGGTGTTTGATCGGACTCGTAATTTAAGAGAAAAAAAATCTTATGAAACTTATAATTAATCTAAAATAAGTTATAAATATTTGTATAATCATCTCATTAAGAATAAAATGATAACTTTAAAATAGTAATTATTTATAGAAAAGAAAGTGTCCTTCTTATTTGGAATAAACCAAAAAGAAAACAGAAAAGGGCCTAAAATGCCCCTTTACTATATGAAATAGGACAGGCTAGCCCTCCGTTAAAAGTTGGTCTTTATTCTGCCCTTGCCGTTAACAAATGGGCTCGTATATGCCCTCCATCACTAACGGAAGACTCATAAAGCCACGTGGAATATATGTGAGGGCAAGTTAGACCTAGTTCGAATTGTACAGGGGCATATATGAGTCAGTTATAATAGTCATTTCTCAAACACTTCACAACTCCATATCAGTTTACTTAGACACCTATTTGGCAACACCAAACTAATTATCACAGCAAATAAACTAAGTCATAGACACAAACATTCAAATGAACGGCAATGACTTCATTAAATCCTAGTAGCTCAAAGGGGTCGAATCATAACAAAAGACAATGTCGGAATGTTCTAGTAGCTCAAATGGGTCGAATAGGAGGCGTCATTACGGACTTACTGCTAATTATTTCATGGCATGGACACCTTTAAATGCTAGAAGAAGGTTTTTCAAGTGCCCGAAGCATGAGGTAAGTAAATATTTTGAGGGGTTCTTTTAATTATTCCAATTTGCTTGTAAATTTGTTTTATTTATTTTTAGTTCTTAGGATGAAAAATATTCCTATTGGGAATGTAAGATGAAGAGCTTCCTCCTAGAATTTCAAATCTCATATGCAGTTTAAAGAAGGAAAAGGAAGCTCTAATTTGTGAAAGAAATGCTCTCCAAAGGAAAACTTGATCTTGAGAATGTTATGATGCTCGTCGATCATGGAGGAATAAAAATCTTGGAATTGAAAAGAAATGTTCTAATGAAGAAAGTGACCGATTTAGAGTACTCAGTTGTGCTTGATGCTAAATTTCGGAAGAAGATGTAAATTTTCATGTGTGTGATATTGGGATGTCTTGTTATGTTCTTTGGATTAGTGCGAAATGATATGTAATGTTAGTGTTATTGTGGCTTAATTATTGTGTTTTATTATGTAATGAAGCTTTATGTTTTTATAGTGCAAGGATTTAATAAAATCATTACCGCTCATTTGTTGTATCTATGACTGAGTTTATTTGCTATGATAATTAGTTAGGTGTTGTCAACTAGGTGTCTAAGTAAGTTGATATAGAGTTGTGAAGTGTTTGAGAAATGACTATTATAACTGACTCATATATGCCCCTGTACAATTCAAACTAGGTCTAACTTGCCCTCACATATATTCCACGTGGCTTTATGAGTCTTCCGTGAGTGATGGAGGGCATATACGAGCCCATTTGTGGACGGCAAGTGTAGAATAGAGACCAACTTTTAACGGAGGGCTAGCCTGTCCTATTTCATATAGTAAAATGGCATTTTAGGCCTTTTCCGAAAAGAAAATTCTCCCACATAGCATGAGACAGAGCGAGTACTATCTGTTTTGGTTTATGAGAGAGTCATATGATTATGTTTGAGTGTATATCTTTGTTATTCCTTAAAATCAAATCACGCTTATAAGGGCAAATTGATCCATTTATCAGCTGACTACAAGTATAGTTACAACTCTGAAATTTAAACCGTTGGAAGTTTATGCAGTTTTGGGGAAAATGATCATGGACGTGATCTTTGTATTAAGTCAGACACGTGGAAAGATATAAGTAACTCCATCAATTAATAATCTCTATAAAACTTGTAACAGTCATTTTTTTTATTATTATTATTATTATCTATATTTGGCAGTGTTCAATTTGAATATTCGCTTATATATCAACTGTTAACTGAGTACTGTTGGAGCCCAAACCCAAAGTTCAGCCACCCACCTTAAGAAGACCTGTGTTTACTTGTATTTATTTGTATTTGTAGCCTTCTTCTTTGCAAATGTAGCCAGCCTTAGTTTGTATACAAAAATACCTAGTCTCTAGAATATTCTTTAGATGAGAGACTCGTATTCAGTTTTCAGTTCAACAAAATTGGATCTCTTCTCTCTCGCGTATACCTAGTGTTTGTTTGATTTCTTCATCAATTCTGCTTCGATTTCTTGAATGTAACAAGTACTATATATATATAGTACTTAAATTGTAATTTCCTTCCAACAGTAATTGCATGATCCCAATAGCATATAGATGATAGATGAATGTTATGTACAGTCGAACACTTAGCCATACAGATCATAATACAGTAAATCGAGCACTACTTTTGTAAAATAGGAACTACTAGCAATTCCTTCCGTGTTTTCCATATACGAAACATATATAGCTATACAGACGTCTTAGGAATTAAAGACAAGTCTCTAATACCAGTAGTAATTTTGTAAAATAGCTGACGATACAATACTACTACTTATTTTGAACAGGATGGAAAGGGGATAATAATTAAACAGGAGGAAAACTAACTAATGATTTCACTAGTATTAATCATTGGCGTAATTAAATACTTGTTTAGCAAGTGGTCTTAGTTTCTCGCGCAATCATTCACAGGCGACTTGGAATTTTGAGAGTGAATAGCAACTCACCAACTCAAATGCTTTGTCCTTGGTCCATTTACTGTCACTACTTCAATTTGAAAAGGTCAAATCATGTGAAATTTCGTTGTTGGTTCAAACTCATCTTCACTGGCTCTAAGGAATACCTTCAATAAGCTTTTTACCGACATGACATTAGTCCATACAACACTCTTGTAAGATATATGTCTATATGGATTCTATAAAGATAACATTAATTGTAGTATATTATGAAGTTTAAGTTCAATGTATTGACATTATATAAATATTTTAAACTATAAATTAAAGTTAAGTTGATAGCAAGTAGCTCTTCATAGAAAGCCAGAACATTAAAAAAAAAAAAAAAAAGA